ACGATGGAGCTCATTAATCCATCAACGCATTTTTCTCTAGGAAACATGCCTATTGCCATGCCACCATTTTGCACAAAACAACTTTTTATTGTTTCCTCCTAGCTACCTATCTATTGCCAAATGGATTATCCAACAAAAATCAAAATGACAAATGAACACGTTTTTTATCATATGTTTCCTGATTTTAGTTGAGGCTATAAAAAACAGAAAACAAAATGGGAAGTGAACGAGGCATTAGTGTAGCTCAAAGCGGAATTCACTGCTTCGTTACATTTACTGCACAAAATGAGGATCAACCTATAATAGGAGAGCGAACTGAAGATCTATTTGCACGAATGATCAATCAAATTTATGTTGTCATTTTGTGTGACTATAGGGATAATTGTTGGTAGATATGTGTAGTAGATCAAATGCATTATCAATTTCATATATGTGGTTGTAACCACTTTTCCAGACTATAATTGTGAATGTCAAGGTTTCTACGAGTTTTAAACATGTAACACAATTATCATAAAACTTTCTAGTTCATAACATGACCAAACTACAACTCACTCCGAAACAGAATGGTCATAAAGAATTTAATTTTCTAACAAAATGGTCAAAGTGGTTTTCTCTTTGTAACATAATGGTCATACAACTATTTTGAATATACAGTTGGATTATCAGTGGGATCAACATAATATCACTTAAACCTATATATAACCAACATTAAACCTTGATCTGCCTCCACTTTAGAACATGTTCTAATGTAAGGATTACAATGGCAAAATTATGACATTCTACTTCATATGGATTGGCTCACCAAGAAAGATCCATCAATCAATCAACATGTTCAAAATTAGAGTTTGTCAAAGTTGTCATAGTGACAACTAGAAATTTTCAAAAATAAGCATGTATCTATCCTACTGATACTTGGTCTTATCGACTAGGACTGCCCCTATCCTACCCCTTTCAAACTGTGACCTTGGTCCTAGTATTTTGGGATGGTGAGTTGACTTCATGGTTCCAAGAAAATGGACGAAATGCCAGGGTTGGCGTAAAGGTTGAACCCTCGCTACCTTTGACTCCCTAACGTTGAGAAGAAACTACTGGAGATGATCCCTGATGTTGAGGAGATGAAGCTACTAGAAATGACCCCACATTACCTCCACGATTATGAGAAAATATATGGAAAGTTTTAGAGTAAATAAATAATCACATGTTATTTCCGAGGACAAAAAATTATAGAAAAATATTGACCTTGCTGTAAAATCTACTATTGTGTTCTTTCTTATTGCATATGGTTCATGTCATGTCACTTTCACCCTATGAATAGCTTTGTATTGTCTTCCATGCTTGTTTTTCTTTGCTTCATACAATTCTCATGTTTCTTTGTGTCTCTTTGTTTGTCTAGGACCTCTCTTCTTCTCTATAAAGGTTGGTGACTCAAGTTCAATATAGCTATGTAAATCTATTGGGTGGAATCATTGAGAAGACAGACAACAAACGGATATGATTATTTGATGTATCCTTCCTATAGAAATCAACAATATAGTGCGATTTTAAAGTTCATTATTCAGTTGCATGCATGAAATTGCATGTTGATAGGGAATGTTATTCAAGTGCAACCTACCATATGCACATGTCTGATTCCTCAAATCCACAACATATCTACCTCTGTAAGATTGCATTTGATAATCTATATTCCCATTGAAAGTTGAAAAACAAAATGAAGCCCTGTTTTTGTACTTGTTCAATTTCTCCATTGACTTAGGGAATATAATGTCTCTTTCCCCTTCAGATGCTCTAGCTATTTCTTTTTAGTGCAACCCTTTTATTATCTTCCGAAAGATATCCTCCAAGCATGACATAATTGGCATGTCTCTTGAAGCTCGCACGACTATTGTTAATTCTTGTTTCATATTTGCAAATCGTTCTATAAAAGACCTTGCACCCACTGAATACGTTCTTTATCCATGAGCTATAAATGAAGTGTATGATCCACAACCTTGTATCCTTCTCCAGCCGTATTTAAATAATCTATTATTGCCTCATAAGTGGCACTTAGCTTGTAGCTCCATAGAAAAGGTCCTTCACCCTCTTTGACCTGTGAACTTGCCACTAAATTTTGCATACATATGTCTCACACAATATCGATGCTCGACAATTGTAAACATCGAGTTCATCACATTCATCACTACCTAACATAACAAAAATCTACTAATCAATAAAGTAACTAAAATCTTGATATGCCATAACAAACAGTGAGTTTAAAAGTAAAATTACCTTTTGCCTATCCAATATAATAGTTTGTTTAGTTGATTGCTCTATGTCCAAGTGTTGATCCAAATATACGTTGAATCATGCCCATGTGGAATGACATTCTTTATCCACTATTGCTCATGCAATTTAATACATGCAATCATTCTCGTCAATACCCACAGTCGAGAGAAGCTGGCATCCAGGCATAGCCTTGAGACAACAACCATCAACACTAATTACCCTATGACATCCAACTTTGTATCCTTCTTTTATAGGACCCTAACATATGTCGATTTTCTCAAAGACATTAAAGTTATGTTCAATTGCCACAGTTTTCCCTAGGTTTCATTCTCGCAACTCCGTATAAGCATACAACTTTACAAACTGAAGGTTGTCCTCTCCATGAACCATATATAAGCCTTCATTTGATTGAACTTCAAGCTCAAGTTTTTCATCACAGTTTGCACAAGGTTTGGTATTGACCATGAAGAATCCACCCTAAACCGATTTAGATACCACTTGCCTAGGAATGATGGTGCAATAGCTCTTAAGTCCTCATCAACTCCACATAATGATGAAGCAATGTAGTCCTGATTTGCATGCTGTCACAATCTTTTACCTCCGTACCATACAATTTAAACCCACAACTCTGTGAACACACTCAGATAACTCACTTTTTATCATTAGTTGAAACTCCACATCTCTTCTTTGAGTCACTACATGGGTCTTACAAGCCACTTTGAATTCCTCAAAAGATGCAAAGAGTTTACCAATCTCCAACTTAGAAAAAAACCATATCTCTTTCAAGCCTAAACTCGGGGAAAATCACGTTCACATTAAACACATCCTCGTCTTCTCCATTGCCTCATCTTGTCTTCTTCAATAACTCTCCCTCGCATGCATACTCGTCCTCTCTCTCAAGTACATTTTCATGTACTTCAACTTCATTAGTGTGACTTTTAGTTGGTTCCTTCTTTGAGATTCTCTTGTTTTTCTCCGACCAGTAAGTGTCCTTCCATGCCCCCTTTGAGTTAAGCCCATAGACGCTCTAATTTCTTCCTCCGCCCTTCTAACAGTTTCGTTGCCGCTACTATGTCCTTCAAATAGAGTTGGATGACCCTATCTTCAGGAATATGCTGACACATCTCTAATAAATCGTTATCAGTTTCCAATAGCTTCAACCATCAGTTATATCTCCACCTGACATAAACCAAAAATATTGCAAGACCTGTCCACCCTGGCTATTATTGTCAATGTAGTCAAAATCGTGTTTTAAAACTTAAAAACTTACGATTTTACGTATCTAGGTCATTAAAACGCTTCTACACAAAATCTCAGTTTTTATAACTTATGTAGTTAAAAACTCCGCTTTAAAACTTAAAAACTTACGATTTTACGCTTCTAGATCACCATAACGTTTCTACATAGAAACTCGTTTTTGACTACATTGATTATTGTCATATCCTTGATTTCTGACATTGACACTTTGTCATCATCCACAAAGTCAAAAAAATCAACCTTGCCATTAGAACAATCCATTTAACCAATTTGTCTCATATTGTGCATTCTAATGGTAAAAAGGGAGAAGTTCCTACAAATAAAAGTAGAAACCAAATTATTAAACCAGTAGGATTTAAAAGGATAACCAATCATAATCTTAATTTCCCCCGATTCAAAGCAACAAATTTTTTTTATTCCTTTCATTCTCAAACCGACAACATTACCATGATATCGGGGACCAGTTACTTTTCTCTATCTTTCATTCTTATACACTACATGACAACAATTTGTTTTGTTTATGTCGAACTTCACCCGCACCAAAGTGTTCCAACATATTTGAAACCTTAAAACCCCAAAAATATAATGGAATGGAAGTACTGACCATAATCATACTTGGGACCCTTATTTCTAGCTTCATGCTACTCTCGCTCCTCCATAATAAGCAATGGGCTGGGGAAGCAGCAATGGCATATGGGAACCTATGGAGCAGTGAAAACAAAAGAGAGCTAAGCACATGACATCGGGACGAGCAAACAATGGACGACTGCCTAGGTTTTATTCTCAAACGAGAACCGAGGCTAGACGACAACGAAAGATGGGGTTTGAGATAGTTAGTTGGTAGGAATAAGGGGTGGAGGTAGATGGCGATGAGAGACTTCAAGGAAGGTGGTTTTGTTTTCTTTGTCAAAAGGGGGCACATTGGTATAGAATTCGGGTGGGTTGGGTCGCTACATTAAGTGAATTTTGTATTAATAATTTCGGTGACATGGAGTGGTCATTAGACCAAATTAAAAAAAATCGATGGAGAGAAGGGAATGACTGTTTTGTTATAAACTCAAATGAGTTTGTGATCATTTTGTACAAAGTGCAAAAGTTTGTGACCTTTTATGCTAATTACTCGTGAAATGTGGTATGAGCGATTTTCCCCCGAGTGAATAGTTAGATTCTAAAGGTGTATGCAAAATGTAGGTAGTTGGAATTAGCTTGGATTGTTTTTTACAATATGGATAAAAGACATACTAGCCATTTAGCCCGCGCTATGCGTCGGGTATTCTTATGTTGATGTAGTGGAGATTTGTAGGTTTTACAAATCGTTATCTGTAGAGCATTTGAAGTAGTATGGACAGTGTAGAGTGTTGATCACTCAAATATGTAAAGTATTTGAGGCGAAATAACAGTTATACTGCCATGTAAATGTTTAAAAGAAAATATCGGCGTTTTTTTTGTGTGGAAACAGGGCGCTAAGGGCGCCCAAACCTTTATTGCATACGAATAAAACGGGGGGTTTCGCTTCCCACCCGATCAAAGTACAGCCAGTACAGCAGAGAAGTACACGGTCTATCCATCACATGCACTCCTATTGGTTTCGAATGCCCAATGGAAGCTAGGTGGTCCGCAGCAAAGTTAGCTTCACGGAAAACATGATCAATCCGAACCGTCCAGCCGCGGTGCAGCCTCCTCCTGATCTCAGTGACCTGGGTAAAATGCATATGCTGCTCGGTCGCGTTATCAATCAGGGTTTTTGCAGTTATTGAGTCTGTTTGTAGAAGAACTTTCCTGGCTCCTTGCTCCCAAGCAAGATCCAACCCATACACAATACCAGCCAGCTCCGCACGAGTGATAGAACCCCCTCCAAGGTTCACGGTGAATGCTCTAATGAAGCGGCCATCACTCCCCCGCATGATGCCACCACAGGATGTGCTCTCAGGAGAATGAATAACTGAGCCGTCGGTGTTGACACAGACCCAGTCTTGCGCCGGTGGTTGCCAGCCAATCAGGCGCTGCTCTCGGGTGCCCCCAGTCCCGAAAATGGTTTTCTCCTTGTCGAAAGCTTTGATGATCTCGTCCTGGAGTTATTTTGTTTGGAACTGGAGTTGTGTATGGGTTTTCAACTTATCCTGGAACACGAAGTCATTCCGATTCTTCCACAAAAGCCAACAGGTTCCTGCAAAAATAGTAGCATCAATGGTATTGCTCCGCTCTGAAAGATAGTAAAGAGTCCACCTCTGGGCATCAGCCTCAAAAAATCTAGAGTCACGCTCATCCTCAAGAAGGTCCGCCCACGTAGAGCGAGCAAAAGGGTAGTCTCTGATGACATGGAGCGTCGTCACTGGTCCTCCGCCGCAAATCTTACAACTCATGTCGGTGGTGAGGTGTCTTCGTCCTCTCTCTGCATTAGTAAGAAGGCGGCCATGATTCATCAGCCACAGGAATGCCCGCACTCTTTGCAAGTTTGGGGCCTTCCACACCGACCGCCAGGCATGTTGTCCCTGAATGGGCGTCGCCGTGTTGTCCGTAAGCTCGTACGCTGACCGTAGTGTAAATTCTCCGTTGGGGTTGAAACGCCAGACTCGAACGTCCTCTGCCTCCTCCGTCGGGATGGGATGAAGGGTAATCTGCGAGACAATATCATGGGGTAAGTAGTAAAGAAGGAAATTGGAATTCCACTTACCATTGAGGACGAACTCGATGACAGGCATATCAAGGAGCTCCATCGGCAGATTTTGGGCGTCAAGCCACCGATCGCTCCAGAACTTTGTTGTTCGTCCATTGCAAACATTCCAAAAGGTCGCTTCCTCAATCAAGTGAGCCACCCGGATCACCCCTCGCCATAGGTTAGAGAGCCTGCCCTCAGTACGGAAGTGGCGTTCCTCCCCCATTTGCCTCAAGTACTTGGCCAGAAGGACTCTCGCCCATAATTCGTTTGGTTTGGTAAGCATTCTCCAGGCAATTTTTAGCATATAGGCTTCATTTGTTCTGGTGGAATCTCGGAGCCCCAAACCCCCCTCATCCTTCGGTCTGCACAACGTTTCCCAGTCAATGAGGTGGATTTTCCGGCCTTGCTCCGTACTGCCCCATATAAAAGCGCGGATTTTCTTGTCGATATAGTCTCGCACACTTGCCGGTAGAAAGGTTGTCTGCATCGTGTAAGCAGGGAGAGAGGCCAGCACCGACTGTGCTAACGTTACCCGACCAGCTAGAGACAGAGTGAACGCCTTCCAACCCGCCAGCCTCTTATCGATCCGGTCAATGAGGTCCAAGAAAGTAGATTTCGAGACCCTGTCATGAATTACCGCCACCCCCAAGTACCTCCCCAAGTTTGTAGTCACTGGTATTTGAAGGTCATGGCTATGGCTCAAACTCTGCTGGCGTTTTAAATGTCGAGAGTTTAGTACAAAACATATATAAGCCTATTACATAAAAATATAAGTAAAATGGTTCTTGATGTCGATAGCTTGGTGTTCCAAAGCAATGAAGTTCCTTTAAGTGAGTGGTTGCAGATTGTGGATACGGTACTAAGATCTGAACAACAAAAGGAAGAGAAACATAATTAAGATCCATCATGAAATTTGGATGATGTCCAACATAAGTGATGTGGTATCACTGAGAATGTAAATGTTCTAAAGGCAGACGACTTTAATTAAAATCTAAAACTCATCATGGTACGAAGATGTTGTCAAGATTAATCAATATAAAGTTTGTTTTGGCATTATCAGTAGTTAAATTTGTTAACTTTGAAAGCGTTAGATAACAGACTAGCTTATGTAAGTCATTCGCTGATCTCCTCTTGGTCTATGTCTATATGATTTGCAATATAAATAGATGTGTAAGCGGGGAATTGGTAGATGTCTATATGATCTGCAATATAAATAGATGTATAAGCTGGGAATTTATATTCATCTTGTTTGTATTATGGCATGATAGATTAATAATTGATTTACATGTGGGCGATGCAACTGGAAATCGGTACGCTATCGGTATCCTAATACCAAATACCAAAATCCAGAATTACACCCTAAACTCAATCCCAATCTCAATCCCTAAATAATTTCGGTATCCCAATCCCAAACCCTAAATATTTTGGTATCCCAATCGGTACTTGGTACCCAATCGGTATTATCGAATAAAAAATTAATTACTTTTACAATTAAAAATTAAATATATAAATTAGATTTATTGTTTAATTTAGGGCAAAGAGACTAAGCAAAGAGTATTGAGTTTGTATAGAGCTAGGATATGGATAAGGAGAATGGAGGAGATGTGACATCTCAAGTTCTTGTCATTGGTAATTTTTAATTTGACGAATTGGAGGTTGAGAGATGACTAATACTAGTGTTTGCTTTTTGGTGTTATGAAAATAACAAGAGATATTAGGTGAGAAACGAGAGTGACTTAAATTGGAAAGTCAAATTTGAGTTGAATGGGGACTTCTAAGTTATGAAATAGTGACGGAATGATCTATGTATAATTAAATGACACCCTTGGTGGTTGAGGGTCATGTAGTAGTTAATGAGAGAGTCTAGTTGAGAAGATAAAATACACACCAGCTTATATTTCGGTATTGATCCGTATTTCGGTATATACCGATCTCAATCCCATAATCCCTAATACCAAATAACAATTGAAACTAAATCCCCATCCCAATAAATAATACGTATACGGTATATACCAAATACTGGTACCAAACTTCCAACCCTAGATGCAACTGTGATGTTCAAATTATTTTTTTCTTCTTCGTTATATACTATATTTCTTGTGTATGAGTGCGGAACTTCTTCGTCGTTGTCAATCAGTATATGAAATCCGCCAACTTATCAAACTCATGAAGCTGCTACATTATAATTGCCCATGAATGAACACCGACTTAGGTAAGTAAACCCCGACTATGTCTAGCAAGGTTGTCAAACCGGTTTATGCCAGTGTGCCGGTTTAGCAAGTGGAATGGTTCAACCGGTGGCACATACCAGTTTATGTCGGTTCATGTATAAGGATATCAAGTAAGAGTACTTTGGTCTCATGGTCAATTACATAGTAATTAAGGCTCCCCATGCTATTACTCTGTTATGATATGTTATGTCACACCCCTGATGTGGTGTTGACCGTTGATTCATCATGATATATGACCAAACCCAGAGTGGTGTTGAGTCCGATATGACCACACACAGAGTGGTGTCAGGTCCAATATGACTAACCGGCAGTGGTGGTTTCGATATGACCACATCCACGAGATGTTTGGTCCGTATTCCCGGGAGAGTAATTAGCAGGGGAGTAGCCAGGAGCCTATGATTAAAACATGATAAGATGCATATGCATAAGTCAAGGTGGTTGAGTCTTTTGCCTATTGGGATGTCGGATGGCCGAGGTCTCATCCTAGTGTTTTGGCTTGATTGTTAGATGTATGGTGGGGGTATGCTCTGTTATGAACTCACGATGCTATGATTATCTCACTCAGCTATGAGTTGTCCTTCTTTTATTCTTTTCCTCTGCTTATGCTATGTGTAAGCAGATCATCAGCAGTAGCAGTAGCAAGTACATAGGTGTGAGCAGAACGAGGAGTTGAATGCAGAATGAGGTATTGTCTTCAACTATTCTGTGCTTGGACGACTACTTGGGATTTTGGCCAATGATCCACACTTTTTTGTAAAAATGTTTTGAGAACATTTTCATGTGCATACTAGCTTCTGATGTAGTGTGAGATATCCACAGGTGTGGAAAGTTGATTATATGTGTATATGTGTGTGGTGGTGTATGTAGTGACATGGTGTGTATATGACATGTATAAGTATGGTATATAGTTGCAGAGTACGAAAGTGTGACTATGGATACGAAAGCCAATGTACATGGTTGTGAGTATATATGTATGTATACGAATGCAAGAATTCAGATAAATTATTTTGCAGGTCTAGTTGCAAGAACTGTTAGCCCATTACGCGAGTAATTCATGTCGAAATATTATTGGTTGATTTTTGGTAATTAATGTAACACCAGTTTTAAATTCCGCTGCAATTGTGTGAACAATATGATCAGGCAAAACGTACAGGGTAGGGTGTTACAGTTTGGTATCAGAACCCGGTTCCCTCTTTTTGTTGTTATGGCGTACTATACCCTATGGGAGGTTAAACACTCCTAAGGAGGGGAGTACCCCATAATGACTTAAACTGGGAATTGATTTTTTACATGATGATGTGTATTGGTATGTTGGACGAAATTACCTGCATCATGGTTTTCAAAATTGTGTTTTGAACTTATTTGTTTTCAAGTAATTATTTTGGGAATTTTTTTTTTGTTTTAACCAAGTGAGAGATTTGGTGAAGAATGAATTTTGTGTGGATCAATCTAAGGCCAATATTTCCTTGTAGCTCGCACGGAAGTTGTCATAATGTTCCTACTGACCAGTCGAGAGGAGTGGGGGCGGTTGATGCAAGACCGTCAGTATTAGACTATGCAAAGATGAAGAGTTTGGGTGGTAGGGACTTCAAGGGAGATGTGAGTCTAGATGCTGTAGTAGAGTGGTTGAGAGAGATGGAAGATGTGTTTGAGTATCTTTATGCGACCCCAGAGGAAAAAGTACAATATGTTGTTTTTCTCCTAAAGGGGTACGCGAGGAGCTGGTGGTCCTTAGTCTCTAGAGTTAATGGTGAACGAGTTCAATTCACCTGGGAGAAGTTCTTGAAGGCCTTTAAGACAGAGTTTCTTCCCGAAGATTTTATCAGGGCAAAGAATAATGAATTCGCCAACCTTAAGCAGGAGAACATGACAGTTACTGAGTACACCATCAAGTTTGTTCGACTACTCTACTTCGAAGATGAGTTGACGGATACTGAGCATAAGAAGAAGATGAGATACTTACATGGTCTGCGCTAGGGGTGGTAAACGGTAATCCGGTAAACGGTTTACCGTT